TCTGGGTCCTTCTTGGACTGCTTTCAGCAATGCAGTAGCATTATCATCATAATCTAGTTACAGGCAAGGGGAAGATCATGGGCTCCTTTTACCTATTTTTACTTTGTGTTGTATTGTTAAAAATATCCTCATATAATGGAAATATTACTTGCATTTTTAAAGGTACATACAAAAATTTTTAATGACTGTTAAGAAATTAAAGTACATTTTGCATGTAGTAAATTTTCATAATATGCACTGAGATTAGGATTACCTAATAATTCTGAGCAAACACACATACATGTCTACTGCCCCACCATGAACAAACAAGGTGAAAAATTTAAAGTGTGTACAGTATTTAAAGTTAAAATGTTCCAGTACAATTGAAAACATCAATACATAAGTGTGCATGTTACAGAATTCTGATCTGAGCACTAAAAATAAGGGCTTCCAGTAGATCATCATTGTTGGACCATCAAGGAATTTGAAAGGTAAAAGTTAGTAATGATTTCATGAACAATTGTATGTGCCTTCCAAATCTATCAAACAATTTGGATGCTTTAGCTCTGGAATTTGATAACATGCAAACAAAGTGTTAAATATTCTGAACAAAATATGACATAGATTGTTACAGTTGGTTAATAAATGTCATGCAAATACACACATATTAGAGACATGGGCCCCATGGTACCACTATTGGGTCTTGGTGGAAAAATAAAAGACAGGGTCCAGTGGGAGGTCTGAAGGCCATTGGGTGTGCCCTTAATGGAGACAGTGGAATCTGGCCCCTTCCTCTTTCTTGCTTCCTGCCACTAAGTGACCGAGCTGTCTACCATTCACCCCTGCCATGATGTGCCAATCAATCACAGATTAAAAACTCCAGAACTGTAAGCCAAGATAAAGTATGTAATAGGTTCAAGTATTCAATAGGTAGCTGGCAGCTAAAGAGGGTTGGTAGCATCTTCATGGATACTGCAGGTAAAGTTCTGGCACTGAAGAAGCTAGCCAAAAGGGGAATACAGGGCTGTTGTCCAAAATATAAAATAAAATAAAAACATTAACACAGGTGATCACTCAAGGAATTATTTAGATTTAGCAACTAACCAATCATTGGTGACCATTAGAAGAAAACTTAAAAAGGCAAAACTTAATACATAAACTGTTTATGTATCCGTATTGTCATGAGTTCCACTTTTTGGAAAACTGTAGCAAAAAAGGCAAACAAGTGAAGTTATATCCATTGGAAACAGGTAAGTCCATCCTTAATGAACTTTTTCACTGCTATAATGTAGGGCACAGTTTGATAAAGTAAAACATTCACAAAAGAGTACATACGAATAATAAGGGGAAAGTGATGATAGGTATAATAGAAAAATAGGACAATTATGACTTTTCACATAAAATATGCCTTTTGCATTATTTAGATATTGCACTATCCCATTCACAGGAAATGAGGGGATCTGAGGCAGCAAGGAAGGACAATAAATTTTACAGCTAAACATGTAAGTTCTTTGTAGTCAAATAAATCAATTTTCTTCTACTGAATAAACACAACTCTGGTTTTCTCAGATTATCCACAAAACTGGCAATGCTTCAAAATTTAAAATTAAGTTGTCACTTGTCAGTTCTTCATTTTTCCTTTTGTAAGGAATGTATATTAATTGTCAAAGGGGATTAATTGTGACATTTCCACACATACATATAATGGACTTTGATCAAATTTATCTGCATCCATTACTCTTTCTCTTTAAAACAATTTTAACAGCTTTCAGTATTCAATTTTCATACGTGTGAATGAAGTACTTTGACTCCCAAGTAACTAGGCTTACAGTCATGAGCCACTGATGCCCGGCCATCTTTTAGATTTTGGAGGAACTCGATTCTTATTTCCATAGTGGCTGCACTGATTCACGTGCCTACCAAAAGCGTAGAAGTGCTATTTTTCCTCACACACTCACCAACATTTCTTGTTTGTTCCTTAATGATTGCCATTCTGACTGGGGGACAATATGAAATCTCAGTGTGGTTTTGATTTGCATTTCCTTGATGGCTAAGGATGTTGAATATTTCTTCACGTATATATATTGGCCATTTGTACTTCTTTTGGGAAGAATTTCTTCAATTGATTTGCCCATTTACCAATTGGATTGCTTTTGGTTTTTTGTTTTGGGGGGCTTTTTTGGTGTTCAATTTGTACAGCTTCTTATATATTCTGGGTATTATTGATCTGATGAATAGCTGCAAAGATTTTCTCCCATCTGTGGGTTGCCTCTTAATTCTGATCACTGAATCTTTTATTTTGCCAAAATTTCTTATTTTGATATAATTCTATTTATCAGTTCTTGTTCATATCTCCAGAGCAATTGCTGTCCTATTCAAAAGGAGTTACCTATGCCTATAACTTCAAGAGTCTTCCCTATGTTTTTCTATAATAGTTTCAAAGTTTCAGGCCTTAAACTTAGATATTTTGGGTTGATTTTTTACAAAGTTAAAGAATAGAGTTCCAGGATCACTCTTCTAAATGTGAATATCCAGTTTTCCCAGCACCGTGTGTTGAAGTGCCAGTCTTTCCTCCAACTATGATTTTTGGCACCTTTGCCAACAATCAGATGGCTGTAGCTGTGCAGGCTTCTTTCTAGATGTTTTACTCTATTCCATTGGACTATTTGTCTATTTCTTTGTCAGTATCATGCTGTTTTTGTTACTATGGCTCTATAGTATAATTTTAAGTCAGCATTGTTTAGGAGTGCATTGGTTATTTGGGGTCTTTTGAGATTCTGTATGATTTTACAATTGGTTTTTCTATTTCTAAAAAAATGACCTTGGAGATTTTCTGGGAATTGCATTGAGATTGAGCTTGGTTCTGGTTGTACAGACATTTTCAAAATATTAGTTCTGCTTATCCATGGGCATAGGAACTCTCCTTTTCCTAGTGTCTTCTTCAATTTTTCTTCAAGGTTTCATAGTTTTCATTTAGAGGTCTTTCACATATTCATTAAGTTTATTTCTAGATATTAAATTTTTTAAGCTTTTGTGAATGGTATTACCTTCCTGATTTCTTTCTCAGCCTGTTCATGGTTTCTGTAGGGGTCTAATAAAATATAAGAAATTATGTGAATTTTCAGGTATTGGCTAAGACTTGATTTATGTCCTAAGATATGATGTATTTCAGAGAAATTTCCATGGGCTGCTGAGAAAAATGTGTTTCCTAGTCTGTGTCTTTCAGAGAACTGAGACCATAAACATGCAGAATTATTATTGAAAGTTACAATTCTTCTAAGTATCTTTTGCTGTGCAGTGTAGTTATCATGAATTGCTTTAGTTTCTGTTTATTTTGGAAGGTCCTTATTTTTCCTTTGATTATGAAGGATTTTTTTTCCAGGTACAGTAACCTAGGTTCACAGTTATCTTTTTTCAGGGCTTGAAATATATTAATCCATGTCCTCTTTGCATTTTAAAGTTCTGTTGAGAAATCTACTGCTCCTCTGATAGGTTTGCCTTTCAAGGTGTTTTCATACTTCTGTCTTGCACCTTTCAATACACTTTCCTCATTCTGGATGTCTAATGACCTAAGTATAATATGAAGTAAGAAGGATGTTTTCTGGTACAGGGAGTCTGAAAGGCCTATTCCCCACCAGCAACAAACACAGATTGCCTGAAGACAGTCCCTGAAGGCTGAATACCATGCTGGTTTTTTGTTTTCATATGACTGTAAGGTGACTGGACCTGGACTTTATAAGGGAGCATGTGGCCTGCCACCAGTATATCTTTCACTGCAGTGGATCCCACTTGCTTCTCTGCAGGACCAGGTAAGACTCTCTCCCTCTGCTTGACCATCTTTCATGGCATCTCTAAACAACACAGTTTGATAGGGTTCCCTCTACTCCTGAGCCATGACTATTGCTTGTTCTCTAGCCCCCAGAGAATCTCAGTCTCAATCCATAGCCTTAACCAACCCTTTCTCAAGAAGTCACCTTACTGTGGCAGTCTGAGATGAGGGGAGTGACAAAATGTCTACCTTCACAAAGGCTAGCCTTCTACACCAGAGCAGTCATTGTCTTCCAAATCCTTTCATTGGATTTAAGGAGGTGTGGGCTTATCTTGCAGCTAGAATTTCCAGTTTGCTGTCAGGTGCCTCTGACTGACCTTGTGATTGGGTCTTCAGCTTTCCCTCTGCCTCTCAGGGAGCCAAGGATGGGCTTGGAACTGTTTGCTCTTTTTCTCTGTTGCCTAGCTTTGTTTGTGCTTTTCTGATTTCTGCCATCTCTTTCATATCTCTTCATATATATAAAAGAGATAAACTTACAACTTCATATATATGTATACATATACACACACACATTTAAAAACACTATACATAATATACATATATATTGAAACAAAGGATTCATTGGGGATAAAATCAAGACAGAATATATTTTATAAAATAAAGTATGATATAGATATGTTATTGAAAATGGACTAAATAGAATTGTAAAAGCAAGAAAAAACAAGGAGATTCAATCGGAGCATAATCAGAATTTATTTTTTATCTTCTGGTATAAAGAACATAAATTTTTAAAACTCAATTGACTTATAAATCTTGAATGAGAAATTGTACAACTCACAATACATGATGAGACCATTTTAAGTTAAATATAATGCTATATTTTCTGACATTGCAGAGAACTAAAGGTAAATTTTAAAGTAATGGGGTTCTATAGTTTTTTATATCTTCTACCCCAGCAGTCTACAGATCTCACATTCATCAGTTTTCTCATTTCCTTTTGTTCTAATTAATCAAAATCCTTCATTTCAGGCCAGTATGTCTTCCTAAATATGAATAAGAAATAAAATAGCATTTGGTGTTTGAGATTATGGGGGTCATCTTAATGACAGAAATGGGTTACTGGAAAGGGAGAATGTCTGATTAAATATACTCATAAACAAGTCAGAGGTTTATAAGCCAACATCTTCACAGGAGAAAGTTGTACAACTCCCAGGTCTTCTCAGGTGAAGTGTGTTCCCGGATGACCACCACCATGGACAGCAAGCAGTCATCATGGAAAGGTATGTGCAACTGCTCAATGGCTTTGTGAACAATCTGGTGTTTGAGGTAAAATAATGTGAAATTTTAAGTAATAACAAAAAGTTTAAGGCACACAGGGTTATAAGAGCCTTCTAATCATTATTCTAGAAAGCAATTGTACAAGGACACAATGGAATAGATCAGTCGTTCTTAAATATGGGATCTTCCTTCTCCTTGAGACATTTTGCATTATCTAAATTCAGGTAAAGCAGGAAAGGGTAGATTATACTGGTGTTCAATGGGTAGCAACCGGGGAGGCTGCTAAATATCCTTCAATGCATTCTTCATGGACATCTCCCAGAACATGAAATAACCCAACTCAAAAGACCAATGATTCTGAGATCAAGAACTATACTAGAATAAGACCTCAAGAGTTTATACATCCACACTGTCATACATCAGAAAAAAACAGTTTACACTTTCTGGCTCCTAGATCTCTTATATGAGTTACACCATTTGAATCAGCCTGAAGAAATCATTCTGAGTCATAATGCAGACAACGTTAGCAAATATGCATCTCATACTGCTTTGTCAATTTGGTTGAAGCCAAATGACATTTCACCAGGAAAAACAGGCAAGGGCTAACTAATAGGCTGCACTTTCTTGGTGATATTTTCTTTTTTCTTTTCTTTCCTTTTCATTTTCTATTTTTTGGTGGTACTGGGGTTTGAATTCAGGGCCTCATACTTGCAAGGCAGGCACTCTACCACTTGAACCACTGCACCAACCTTTGCTGACACTTGCAAGAAAAAAATTACTACTAACAACAAAATATGTTTTATGAAATGAATAATAAAAATATTTATCTAATTTACCTCATCTTAGACTATGAAAATCCACCAGATAATAAACACATAGATAATAGTTCTCATCATTAAGGAATATTCAGTTAGGAATTTCCTAGAGTACTAGTCTGCATTCTCTATTTTCAAAGCAAAATTCTTTTATACATGTAGTTAAACATCCATTCACCTATATTATATGACTATAACATACATTGAGCAACTTTTAGAAGCATTGTGCTTTTGAAAAGTGAAACATCTATAATATGAGTTATCTCACAAGATTATTTTAATTTTGTACCTAACAATTTGTTTAGTTACATTATAAACCAAACAACTTTTAAGTATATTTAAACTTACTTAGGATACTTGGAGTTAGTTTTTTTTTCACACATTAGTCTTTAACTTTACATTATTTTATATTAGACATTTCCAATTACATCTGTCAAAGATTCTGTGGAACTGAGAAATACATGTTTATATCAGAAGTTCTTGGTATTACTTCACTATGTTAAAGAGTGATATTAATTTGGCACCTATGTGCCATTTCTTTCCTTTCAGAGTGTAAATTATTGATATGCTAATGATAGATATCTGTCCATCTGCTGAGACAGCAAAGGGATGATAAAACCACCACTGATCCTTGTTAAGATTTTTAATGTGGGTGTTTGATAGAGCAGGAAAACGGGATATAATCAAGTTACCTAGGGCCTCTATTACCATAAAATCAAGGCAGAGTGTTGTTCTTTAAAAGTAATGGTAACAACCTCTACAAACACTGATCTCAGGAATAATGATGTGGTCCCTGATACACATGCAAAGTGAGGGCCCACAGGTGTGTATGATGTGACAAGGTGAAGACAAAGACCATGGTGTTGGTGTTCTGCCTGCCCAACCTGCTAATAAAGGGAGGGGAATCATTTAACCTCTGAGCATTCTATTTCATCAATATGATTTAGTGATAATTATGAAGTCCCAGTATATTCACAGGAACGTTGTAAAGCCCAAATTTTGAAAAAAAAATCTGAATGGTTTGGCAAATTTTCAGACAAATGTGTGGGATTATAATGGTGAGTTAGTCATCCAGCCTACAGCATCATTTTTATGATAGGATTCTTTTCATAATCCATATTAGCAATCAAGCATTCATGAGTTTATTCTTGTCAGCCATGAAGATAAAACACACCAATGAACTGCAGTGTCTTTGTCACATTAGAGCCCGAAATGTAAATATTGGACATTGACTTAAAAAATTATAAACTCTGATGACCAAAAATCTGCAGAGACACCCAAGACATTATATTATCTTCAGTGAATGACTTAAACACCCTGCTTCAGAATTAATTTAAGCTCCAAATGTTTACAAAGTATACAATTCCTTCTGGAAGCAATACAAAAATGCAGGAAGTCACCCACTTCTCAAACTACATATCTGTACAAATACAATTATGTATCTAAATTGACACAGTGGAAGGTGTTGCTTCTTCTCCCACACCAGCTGTACTAGCAATTCCTGTAGAAAAGGACAGTGCTGAGGGAGAAAGTTTCCCACAGCAGAATTACATCTGATAACCTCGGCAGAATAGATCATCTCAAAGTGGGTTGTGTTTTTGTTTACACAGGATCACTCCTGCTGCTGCTGGTGTTAAACCTCCTTCTCTGCAAGAATGTGGCTGCCAGCCCTGCCTGTGCAGGTGGGGCTGCGAACTGCCGCTTGAGCCTCCAAGACCTGTTCACCCGTGCAGTCGCCCTGTCTGACAACATCTATAAAGTTGCTGAAGACACATTCAGGGACTTTGTAAGTATCCCACTCATTGCTTCTTCCCAAAGAAGCCTTCATGCCAAGGATAGGACTGTATGCAATTTAATAAAGTAAATCTCATGAACCAAATTGTAAATACTATATCGTTAAGTAAAAGAAGGCATCAGATAATAAAAGATGCAAAAAAGGAGAAAGCTCCAAGTTTCATGAAAGTTCAAAGATTCTCAAAGAATGCAATGATTTTTATAGATTTTCTTTAATTCATCTATTTATTAAAAATCTAAAACCAGGTGTTAAGCCATTTTTAGGTTAGAAGAAGAGCCAGATTTTTGTTCTTAGAAACCAGTCTCCCTGGGCATTCTGTATTCGGCATTCTGTAGATATTCAATAAACGACAATTGCATTGGATTGAACTGGGTGGATGGAATAGAATTAGGCTGAACTGAAGCCATGTCAGAAGGGGGAAATGCCAAACCAAAAAGAAAAAAAAAGGCTTTTCAGAATCCCCAAATGCTAGGAATCATTGTTTTAAGATTTCCAGTGCATGTGATAATTACAACACAAAGGCTGGTTTACAATTGGAAACAGAGTTTTTCTTCCTGATGAAGGTACTTTGAAAGTTGTATTTTAGGTCTTCTAGGTCAGGCAAGGAGCCCACAAAACATTAGGGATTCAGTATATCATTGGGCCTCCAGAGAATATGACTCAATATTTGCAATAAATATATATTCATAAAATTATTTTCACTCACGACTTTTTCATTTATTCCTGGTTTTTGACTGTCCTTTATCTTCCACATCTTCCTAGTAATCCTTTTAAATTTTCACAATTTTCGCCAAATATTATTTTTAAACCATGAAGTTTATTATTTTATTCAGTTTTTAACCTGTTCATATCTTAATATTTCCTGAAAGTTATGCTCTGTTACTTTCGACTTACTTTGTCACACCAGTAATATTGAATTTTGAATTCATGATAAACTCGGTGAGGTACAGCTATGTGTATTCAGAGGTAATTGATAGAAAAATTGTAATTTTATAATGTCTGCTTAAAAGAGGCATATCTGTTGGACACACAAGAAAAAAGAGACTAAATGAATAAACAGATACTTATGTACTTTAGCGTTTGGTATTTAAAACACTTGACAGTTTGTAGTTTGGTAGCATTTAGTCCTTGCTTTTCAAATAGCAACCCAAAGGAAGGGTGAAAGGAAGGTTGTGACAATACAGGAATAGTAAAGAAGAGAAGAAGTTCAAAAATTTGAAATGTTAGATGAAAACAATGAGAATACAAACTAATCACAAAAAAAGTAGGCAAAAGGACTTGTTTGTTAATATTCCTTGGGTTCAAAATTATGCAGTGCTCTTTTTGAGAAAATTACCATCTACCAACTGTATGAATATTCTGCTAATGGATTAGCTTGTTCAATTCCCAAGATATAACTAATTGCATTTTCTCTATCATTTCTAGCAAAAAACATATGCCACTGGTCAGGAGTTCATTTCCAGGGCCATCAACAGCTGCAGCACTTCTTCCATTCCTACTCCAGTGGACAAGGACCAAGCCTTAAATAACAAGGTAACTCTTAAGCCCAGGTTTTCCACCAAAACAGCTGAGGCAGCATTCTAGGGTTGCTGTACTATAAATTATTAGAGTCACTAAAATTAGTATAGTAATCACATGTGCAGAGAAAAATGGAGGAAAAGAATGCAATCTAAGAATATTTACATTATGTAGCTGATAAATTATAAGTAAAAACAAATACTAGATAAGCCTAGAGTAGATCTATAAATTGTGCATGCAGAGGACAACATTTCACCCAATGCCTTATACCTAGGATTGCATACATCTTTCTGTAGGAATGTTTTGGGTGAGTTGGACATGCATGAGTAAATATCCACATAGGATAGTTGTAAGAAATGCAAATGCAGTTATGTAGTGCTCTTCCATTGACAGCACATTACATCCCTGATCACTGAATGATTTGAGTCCTCTTGTCTAAATTTACAAGACTCTTCTGGTTCTACTTCTTCTCTAACACTTACTTCCTCATTCTTCCCTGACTCTTCTGTCTCATGCTGCATCTTAATTGAAACACACCTTACCAAGCATGTCCTACAAATATTATGTTTCTTTCAGCAGAAACTCTAGTCTCTGTTCTGATGACAACAAAATCTACATATCAAACCAGCTCCAGTTTTTTACTGTTCTAATCTATCCTTCTGAAATAATGCCCTAACCAGTCTAAACATAGTTTAAAATAAACAAGATACACATGATATATATATATATATATATCTGTGTGTGTTTGTGTGTATATATATATATATATATATACATACCACCACAAATATTCAGTTCTTTAAATAACCCAGTTTTATAACTTTAACAATACCTTACAGTTTGCATTTCTAAAAATTGTATTATCTACTGAAAATTTTTACATACACAGGAATAGCAAAGAGATATTTTAGTTCAACTTTTCCACAAAATAACATGTTACCACCCCGCTGTTTTTCACTTCCTTTAATGTGATGTTCAATGTGGTTGATCAGTCTGGAACACTTCTGAATACGGTCCGAGGCTTATTGCGCTCCTGGGAAGACCCTCTGCAGCACCTGACCACCACGGTGAGGGCTATGAAAGAATTCCCAGCAGATATGATTAGAAGAGTCCAAGAGATTGAGTATAAAACACATCAACTTCAAGAGGGCGTGGAGAAGATAATCAAACAAGTGAGCAATCTTTGATACTTCTTTGATTTTCTCATCAATGAAAGAGGCAACCTCTGTGGTGGAAAATGTGTTTAAATTCCTCACTTTGCTAGAACAAATTTAGGCATTCAATGGTGTAGATGACAATACACATAAATTCTGATAGGTAATCTGATATATAAAAAATGTGCTTACTCTGTAAGAGAAAGGTCTGCAAGTCAAAATCTACAATTATCTCTGACTGCTATCTATTTGGCTCTCTAACTCAGACATCCTTAAGGTACAAAGATAGTTCCTCTTCTGTAAGATCTCTGGAGATTCCCAGCCAATAAAGTCCGGAGGTACAAACTGCTCCTTCTCTCAAGATGTTTTGCAGGTTCTTTTTGTACTCCTAGTCATGCCTTAGCACACAGTCCTCACTACTGAGGGGTCTTTGACAGCACCGTCCTTAACCCACTACCTCCCAACACAGAGAACTAAAAAGAAAACAGCTACTCTTCATAGAAATTTGGAAGGAACCTTTCCTGATTTAAATGAAAGACTCCCCAAATTCATCAGCAGATCTTCACCATACTCATCATCAGATTATCTGCATCTTAAAGCATTTAATGCATTCCTCATTGTTTCTAAGATTTCAGTACATACATCCTCTGATCAATGGATTCAGTTCAAAGGAAGGAAAAGATAAATGTGAACTATCACAAGAACTAAAGTGCAGAGGCCATGCTAGGGACAAATTTTGGGAAATGTAAAAGTCACTCAAGTAAAAGAACTCTTCCAAAGTCCCTTGGTCAAAGCCAAGTGTATTTTGTAACAGGAACTTTCTGCTTATTCACCTGACTACTCCTGTAAGAGAATAATTAATCTGTGATCTCCCTTATACCAGAAAACTTATACAAATGTCCTGCATTTAATTTTAAGACACGCTGATCCAGAAACACAAAAATCCATGTCTTTGGCTTATGTTTTCCATTCCTATATCATCCACATATCATAATTCAGTAATTAGAAGGAACAGTATAAACAAATACTAACAGTGTGAATAATACGTTACTATCTTTTTGGTGACTAGGTTGAACCTGGAGTTGTAAACGATGACATCTTCACTGCCTGGTCTGGACTTTTATCACTGCAGAAAGGTGACAAAAACTCTCACCTTGTTGGATTTTATAACCTGTTCCACTGCCTACGTAGGGATACAAATAAGGTTGACAATTTTCTCAAGATCCTGAAGTGCAAACTTGTCCATGAAGGCAGTTGCTAATCACATATCAATTCCCTCTATGTCTGAGATGGTTCTCATGGAAATATCTCTGGACAAGCTTCTTTTAGTTTTATAGTTTTTAATGCGTGCTTGGGTGTAATGGATCTCTTCATAAAAAAATTAAAACTGACTCTTTACCAGTGTCAAAATCTAAAAAGCCAATTTGTCAAAGTTTCTTTTCTGCATTTCACGGAAAAACAAAAGAAAACATATCACTACCATTGAGAAGTTCCTTTCAAAATTTGTAGCAAATAACAAAAGCTAGGATTGCAAATAAGACAATTAATAATTAACTTTAGAACCACAGTAAGTTAACATGGGTCATTATTGGAATCCAAAAGTTTGGTTACCATTCATAACAATCCCATCAAGAAGACGGAATCCTCAGGATGCTTTATTAAAATCACCACGTCTGTGAGCTAACTTTCATAGTGATGAGTTAGACACTGCTAGTGCTCTGCAATGGCAAAGTCTAAAAATAGTTAGGAAGCAAACATACAAATTGGCTCTAGATTTCTCCAGTAGCTCTTTCCAATTATGCTTCACTGAGTTCCAATCCCCTGAGAATAATCCTGGACACATTCTATGCATTCTATTTGCTCTGATTTTCACAAGACCTTTTCACTTAAGTTTCAGCCACATTTCACATGCCAAATATTTAAGATTTTCCTCTCTTCCTTTTGTGGCTCAAAGGATATCAGGTAAAGCAGATGTCAGTAACTGAAAGTATTTCATTACCTTCTTTCTACTGGATCTCAATTCCTTTCCATGTCAGAATAACATAAACAATTAGGAGAAATAAAACAATTTCTGAGAGCACTGTTTTATGAGGTACTGTGATTGTTTTCATATTTCTGACAGGCACTGAACTTGAATTTCTTCTGAGTGACAGGTGTGTCTCTGCTGTGGGGCACACTAGTGTGGTTTCAGCAGAAATGCCCTTGCTTGATTCTCCTATCTACCCCAAGGTGCTGCACTCCGTAGAATCCTTTACAGCCTCTACTGCAAGTCCCTTAAGCTAAATGAACCCTACTAAAAAAACTGTCCCAAAGTTAGCCATCTTCCAGCTTACAGGAAATTCATCTATCATAACCACTCTAAGCAATAGAGTAGCAATAAACCCAAATCACTGCTGAGCCCTCTCTTGGATCTCCACAAATCTCTTCTCTTATTCACATTAACATAGAGAGAATCAGAAAATAGTGTTCATTAGCAGACAATCATCTGAGGAATGAGACACTATTCTTCCCTTCTTTTGAATCCCATGAGTAATTATCTCTATCAACAATATCGTAGAGAGGTAGCCTTACAGGTATTCTCTACTAGACCACTAAATGGTAACTCCCACATCCAATCCCTAAAAATATCTAATGATCAGTGTTCAGTCTGGATAGAATTGATTGATTGAATGAGGGTGACTCAGCTTGTTAACCACACTTTAAACAAGCTAGGATGAGTGCTGATGTAAAGGCCCAGTCCTTAGAAGGTGGTGGGATTCCCAGGGGGGTTTTGAAGGAGGGTCATGGATTCTGCTGGGATTTCTAGACAGTACACAATGGGAAACATCAATTCTACATCCTGATAGGTATTAAATAAAATGAGTGGAATAAAGCCAAAGCTAGAGAGAGGCATAGGTGAGGAGAGAAAGATAAGATGAAAGAAAAGGAATAAAAAGATAGAATTGAACGATAAGATGCAGTTAGCATACTGAACTTGGTGAAAAACTGTATCTACATTAATTATTAGATCTGAAAGCAAATAGCATCCACTGTTTTCCTTTCACTTCCCTCTTCTCTCTTTCCTGAAATTTTTGTATGTTTTAAGAATATTCTTGCCTTTATCAATTGAGGTGCTATAGTCTCAGCACAAGCAGAACTTGGCACTTCTGTAGGTCATGATTCAAAGAACTTTCTACCTCTTTTTCAAGAAATAATAAAGATAAAACTTTCCCAGATCAATAGGAACATTTTCCAGCATTAACCAATCTCTTTTCTCCATAAGGAGGTATATTTTGATCTGAGTCTTGCTTCTGTCTCTAACTGTGCAGACCCACACCTTTCATACACATCAGAATGCTCTGCCCCAAACCAAACTATCCCCCATCTCTTTCCTCTTGAATGCATGCAAAGCATCAATGCCCTCACTCAGATTTCATCTTTTTCTTTTAAAAGGCAGAAGAATATGGGAGAAACATGTATATTCATTATTTCTAAGTTATTTATGTTGAATACATGCAATTCTATTATGTTTCCTACTTAGTTTTCTTCCCATCAATTTCTAGATATTTCCAACAGAGATGATGGTATTCATCAGGAGTGAAATTTTCTAATGAAGGACAGTGTCATTGTATAAAATGTAAGTTCAACATTACTTTTCTTTTACAAGGTGTTGATTCCAAGCATGAATTTAAGACTTCAAGTAAACTACTGAGGCGGTGATAGTCCTTGACTGTCACATAGAAACTGAATGTTGTAATTTTCAGACAAGATTGAGCAGAGCTATAGGTGTGTAATAGTGTTGCAAGAGGTAGTAAGAGAGAGGATATTTGTGAAGAGTATATCAATCACTTCTTTTCCAACGAGAATGAGTTTACTTAATTCTGCTGTAGTTTTGCACATGATAGCTATGGTGTCAAAACTGAAACAAACTAA